ATGTGGCAAGGGTGGGCATGGCCAACTCAACGTCACTCATGTCTGGGGCACCTGTGATGGCCTGAATGCTCTGCCAGCGAAAATGGCCTCCTGAGCTCCGTTTTCTGCTGCAATGGCCTCCTGCAACCCTCTGCCAGTGGCCCTCCTGAGCTCCATTTTCGCTGGCAGAGGCACCACAGGCTGGTCCTTTGCTATTTCCAGGGCGGGCCGGCGGGCCTGATCTAAGCACCCTGTGGGCCGGATCGAGGCCCCGGGCCTTGAGTTTGACACCCCGGGTTAGATGATCTCCAAGGTCCTTTTAAATTGTCCCTATACTTTCACTGTATGGTTAAAAAAGATGGAAATTTCTTCTATTGCTATTTAGTAATTTGTATAATTGCATTAATTTAGAATTCAGTTAAAGTCTATGGAGTACAGACTGTACTTCTTTCTTGAGTATTATTTTTGAATAAAATATATGTTTTAAGTATAAATAACAATCTTTTGGAAGTAAACATTTTAATTAAAATTTAAATACAAATTGAAAGGAACTCAGTATAATAGTGGCATCACATAGATACAAACTGGGAAGAGCTATTTATCTTTATGAGCAGAAATCTTTGAAGGAATTCTGGAATATTAAGTAAGGTGTTTTTTAAAAATTAAAAATAGCATGCATTTTATGAAATTTTAGATGAAACTCAAGTTGTTTAGCTCAGGGATTTTGAATCTGTAGATTGTCCACATCCCAAAGTGGAAGATAACAAGTAACATAGAAGTGGATCACATTTTTTTAATTGCTTGGGCTTGCTCAGGCAACTCTGCCTTGGTCAATTTAGAGCTGTCTTATAGGCAAATTGGGGACCAAAGCCTGGAGCAAGTTTTGGAGATGCTGAAACTTGTGTTCCTACTCTGAAACTTGTGTTCCTACCCGTTTATTGGAAACTTTCACAGACTGGTGTGATGTTTAGTAGAAAAGCTGTAGTCCTTGGAGGATATTTATTTATTTTATTTTATTTATTTGATTTGTCAATTGTTTCCAAGATAATAAGCATAAGTGTATACATAGTTGTGAATACATGAAATGGGTACATACAAGAAAAATAAAAGAATAGAGAAACAATAGGACAGGGACGGTAGGCACGTTGGTGCGCTTATGCATTTTAGTGAAATTCACACATTTAGTGCAATGTTTTTATTGAATAGTTAGGAAAAAACTAAAGATAATGGAAGTTATAATACAAGACTAAATCAAAAAAGCATGATGAAAGTTGTGTATTTTTAGGAAATGTTATATTTATTTTCTAGACAAATCATGATAAAATATGTAATTTAATTTATGGAAGAGATTTTTGAATATTTTGGAGGGGGGTTTGAAAATCTGTAGTGTGAGATTTTGTTCTCTGTTGCTAAGTTTTATGATTTATAAAATTTGAAAATAGGAGGAAACATTGTCATTTTGGAAAGCTTCATTTTAAAAATTACATATACTACATTACTTCACATACTGTCATAATCCTTAGTAATATGAAAGTGATTAAAATATATTAAATATTTTTAAATAATTAAACAATTGCTATCACTTTAATTGAACCTCTTTTCTGGAAAGCATCTTTATTTTTCATTGGTTTGTTAAGAGAACCATAGGTTCTTTCAGCAAACTTTAAAATAAGTTTTCAGTTGTGCTACAGTTTTACTGTGTAGGCTAGAGATCTTTGCACAGATACAAATAAAAGATATGTTCTTTTTTTTCATAACATTTTCCCACAAGTGCAGTGTCCACTTTTTTTATCTTTGTGAAATGTAGTTTTTGTTATTGGCTGGATGTGCCCTTGGGAAAATATTACAAAAATACAATCATTAAGATGATGTAGCAATCTGTTCTATTAGTTACAGAAATCTCTCACGTTTGTTTTTTCATTATTGTTGAAAAACAATTACTGTTTCAGTATATTTTGCTGTTGGCAAGAAAATTGGAAACAATCATGAACTGTATTATTATTGCTAGAAATATCAAGTCAGAAATTAAGCTGTAATAGATATCCATGGATGATGCTGTTAATGAGTTTCATAAGGGAAACTATTGTCATTGTCAAATATTATTTGCAAGACTATTGTACTTTACCTTAGTAATGAAGATATGCTGTACATATTTGAATGTCCTGGGATCAATTGCTTTGTGATTCAAAGAATATTTGTTACCATGCTTTCATGTCAGGGCCTGAAAAGAAAATAATATGTCATTTTGGACTCGCTCAGGAGAACCTTTCTTCTTTAGGAAGGCATGACTTCATTTTGAAGTGCATTTATAGTCCTTCCTGATAAACTGATCCAAAGACTGGCCTAAGTAAGGAGAGTTGGAATATGGAGTATTGGGGTATTAAAATGGCTCAGTAGATCTTGCAACATTCATTCATTGGTTCACCATATGAGGCAGCCATAAAGAGATGCAAAACCTTCTTGACTCTTGAGTTCCTGACTAAAAAAAATGATGGCATTTGGCGGTATTGCATTTGACTAGTTATCTCCTCTGCACTCTTTGGACATCTGCTCCCATGGTGCCGTGTCAATGGACTGATGTAAGTTGTAGGCCAAAATATTTCATACCATTCATATAACAGAAGATCTGGATAGACTTGGCTAGAAACGCAATTCATTGTGTCAACTTTAAATGCTTGCACTGTGAAGTGTAATGAAGTGCAAGAAGCACTGACACAGAAATAAGGTCTGTTTGTTCCACTGATAGAGGCGCAGATATTGCTAGAGTGTTTGATGGCGTAAGAAGACTTCCTCCCTGTGCCTTCTATCTCTTACTCCTGTTTTTTTATAGTTTTAAATTTCAATTTGCATAATTTTAATATTTTAATTATCTTTTGATTTGTCTTTTTATAATTTGTAAGCCTCTCAGAGTCACCTTGTAAGAGAGATGGGCAGCATAAAAATTAAATAAATAAATAAATTTAGAGCCTCTGTGGCGCAGTGGTTAGAGTGCAGTATGCAAGCTACTTCTGCAGCCAGCTAGCTACAATTTGGCAGTTCAAATCCCACCAGGCTCAAGGTTGACTCAGCCTCCCATCCTTCCGAGATGGGTAAAATGAGGACCCAGATGTTGGGAACAATATGCTGACTCTGTAAACCACTTAGAAAGGGCTGCAAAGCACTATAAAGCGGTATATAAGTCTAAGTGCTATTGCTATTGCTAAATCCAAATCCAAATCCAAAGAAACATGCATAATGCTCACCTCCTATTTGCCCACAACTCTGTAATGGGGATTGGGCTAAGAGAGAATAACTAGATGAAAATCACCCAGCTTGCTTTTGTTTAACTACTAAACCAAACTGATTATTTCCATAATGCAAAATGGTAAAAATTGAGAACGGCAGAGTTGGAGTTTTTTTGGAAGGGAATTTATCCCTTTCAGGTAAATACAGAATCTATTGCTGAATTCTTGGAATGTGAATGCTTGAAACTATTTCGTAAACATTCAATTGGCTTGAAGAAAGGTACAGATGGTCCTCAACTTACAGATATAACTATAATCAAACCCAAATTTTCGTAAACATTCAATTGGCTTGAAGAAAGGTACAGATGGTCCTCAACTTACAGATATAACTATAATCAAACCCAAATTTTCCCTTGCTAAGCAAGACAATTGTTAAAGAGAGTTTTGCTCCATTTTATGACTTAGTTGCTAAATGAATCATTGCAGTTGTCAAGTTAGTAATATAGTTGTTCAGTGAATCTGGCTTCCCCATTGATTTTGCTTGCAGAAGGTCACAAAAAGTGATCATATGATCTCAGGACACTGCAACTGTAATAAATACATGCCAGTTGCCAAGGGCCCAAATTTGATCATGGGGATGCTGCAACAGTCGTTTGGTGTGAAAAAATGGTCATGTCACTTTTTTCAGTGCCGTTGCAACTTCAGATGAGTGATTCAATGAGTGATACAATCACTAAATGAGTGATTGTAAGTCAAGGATAGCTGTATTCCTTCAATATAGGTTCTTTTTCTTCTCAGTGAACACAGGTGTCTTTTCCTTTCATGAGGCTGAAGATACGTGTTGTTATATTGTCCTACCATATTTTTCTTATGTGATTTTTCTGGACTAAGAGAAGGGTGTATATTTGCTTTGACATGTTTGAATTAAGGTTTAAGGAGAAAGGGCAGTGAATACTGCATACATTGGTATTATTTTAATCCTAAAATCTGCATTTTTAAAAAAAGATTCTTTCAGCAGCATTTGAGATTCCTACTGATATAGCATTGTGGAAAGCTAAGCCAAACATATATGGATTTATGATGGAATGGGATCACATGTTTATTTAAAAATTGAAATTGAACAAAGTATCTGCAGCTGAAATACTTCTTTCCTTTTAAGGAAAAGAAAATAAATGCAGTTCTTGCTTAGAATTCCTAGAAAATAAAGCCTGCCAAATTCACTTGATCGTTCTTGATCTTGAAGATATCTCGTGTTCAGGAGAAGCAGACTGGTAGAGACTGAGTTTTGCCAATCCTAATTAGAAATACATACTTAAAAACCTTTTGGTGTTATACAGTTATACAGATTCTGTGCAGTTCTGTGACAAATAAGTCTTCCATTGTTTGATACTTTTTGACATGGAATAAATGTAAAAGGATAGCCCTTGAGCATTGGAGAAAAAGAGAGTTCACATACAGTATTCTGGATTGTTGCCCTAAATGCAATTCTAAATTTGTTTCAAAAGACAAGTTTCTACCAGTTTAAGATGAAAGTACCTGGAATGAGTCATAAATGTGTTAAACACCGAAACCAAGTTAAAGCTAAGCAATTTTGCAGTCTATATAGCTTTATGCTGTTCTGCTTTAATTAATGCTGCAGCTGTAGATGTCTAATGTAACTGTCCATTTATAAACTTGAAAGCCTTAAAATGTAACTTAAATTACCACAATGAAGGATTCTATCTTTCAGTATAATTTTTTCTGCTGCATTAGATAATTTTATATTTTAAATTCACAGTTGGTTTTCTTCTCTTTCAGTTTTCTGCCATGGTCGTATTGTGAAGGTGCCTGAAGGACCATTAATACGAGTTGAGGAAACTGAAGTGGTGATTCCATGTAATGTTAGTCAGTACGGTGGACCTAGTGAGCAGAACTTTGACTGGGAGTTCTCGACAAATCTTGGTCAGGATTCTAAGTTTGTACACATATTGAGTACATGGGACCCTTGGTTTATGTCTCCAGAATATCAAGATCGGGTTAATAGGGGAGAGATCATGTTAAGGCGAAAAAGCAACAGTGCTGTGGAATTCGTGATTGGAAATATTCGTCCTACTGATCAAGGGATATACCGATGTACTACACCCAGCACAGACAGTGTCGTCCAGGGAAACTACAATGATGTAGTTGAAGTTAAAGGTACTTCAACAGGGTGAGGGGTATTTACAATTGGAGTGGTTTAGTGTCATATTGTGTGAAATGTCTTGAGTAGAAAATATAAATGGTCTAAACCTGAATAGATTTTAAATGTAGATATATTAAATGTAGATATGTTCATGTCATTTTGTATGGAAATCGAACAGAAAATCAGCAAATAGACATTGTACTCTGAATTAAGGTATGTGACCTGGCCACAGTTGAACTAGTTTACTTTTTTTTTCTGAAGGAAGGGGCCCATTAAAGGGATTTAGACTTAAACCAAAGTGTTACAAATATTTTCTTATTGGTTTTATATATTTTATCAATAACTATATTTCTAAGCAAATTGAATAATTGAATGTACAATTCTATGGAGAAAGTATTTCTTTTGAATGTTGGCGTTGAATGTTAACATGTGGGTCCTACTGATACAGTTTCAGGCAGATGTTTAGGCACCTCTGGTCAAATTACCATATTTTTTGCACTAATAGAATGCTCCAGACCATAAGATGCACCTAGCTTTTGGGGAGGAAAACAAGAAAAAAAAAATCTGCCTCCGCCTCCCAGCAATTTGCCTCCTTGCAGCAAACAGCCTGGTCAGCTTCAGCACAGCATGATTTAGCATGAGCAGCTGACTGGCAGTTGGATTGGCCTCCCGGAATACAGCTGATCAGCTGTTCCAGGCTGCGGGGATTGCCACTGCCCATCGCCGCCCATTGCCACTGTCTATCGCCATCTCTGCATGCACCATTTTTGGCCTCTGCACATCCCATTTTTGACCTCTGCACATCCCATTTTTGACCTTCGCACATCCCGTTTACAGCCCATTCTAGGTGGGCCAGAAAGGGATGGTCCATGGACTAGATCAGGGGTGTCCAACCTTGGCAATTTTAAGACTTGTGGACTTCAACTGCCAGAGTTCCTCACTCTGCTGGCTGAGGAACTCTGGGAGTTGAAGTCCACAAGTCTTAAAGTTGCCAAGGTTGGACACCCCTGGACTAGATGTAGCCTCCAGGCTATAAAATGCCCAGGTCTGGTTTAAAATGGTACATCAGTTGTCAAAACAAGTACTGTCTGAAGCAAAAACATTCTAGGCAAGACATTCATTTTTATGACGGAAATTCTGTTTTTCCCATCTTAACGTCTCTTTTTAAAATTCATTTCCTGTAGTTGTTTTGAAGAGAAAAACTATGCAGTTCATATTTATCACATTGTTACCCAGATACTTTACCTTTTTCTCAATCTTCAAACATGTTTTGATTGTTAGTTCTACTTGATCTTCTATTTTTATAGTTTGATTGACATGTTAGTTTTCTCTTTATTAATTTTGAAACTTAGTAATGTGCAAATTTCTTTTAAATTGTTGATTACTATTTCAATTCCCTTTAAAGGAACCAACACCCAGTCATATGACATAGTGCCTTAACTTATACGTTTCTTTTTAAATTTTTACTCCCACAAATTTTCATCTTATCTTATACCTCTTCAATCTTCAAACTAAAATAAACAAGGGATAATAGGCATGGGAAATCGTTTATTATAATCGTGTGCTTGACAATCCTCTGTTTTCTAAATAGTGATTGCAGATGGCTTAACTGTTACTGGATCGAACTTCTACTCCTCATCAACTTGGAACGTATCAGAAGGAGATACATTTCAATTACGTTGCTCAGCTTCTACCAATTCTACTGAACACACCCATCTGCAAGTGTCTTGGGAGTTCAAGAGTAACCTTGTCTGGCAAGAAATCCTTTCCCTGACACATGAGGGCAAGTTCCGGACTGGCTCAGAATACAGTGACCGCTATATCAGTGGGGATGTGCGCCTGGATGCTATGGCTAATGACATTTACAGCCTGTCTCTGTCTCAGGCTCTTCCAACAGACGAAGGCGCTTATAGGTGTCGAGTGAGTGAGTGGGTTAAAGGGGCAGATGGTTCATGGCAAAAGATCCAAGAGAAGACTGCTGATATAGTAAATTTGGTGGTGAAACCAACATGTGAGTATACATTTCTGCATAGATATTATGTATATAGCCACAGCATGAGAAATTGGCCCGATTAAGATATATTTATCATGATTCATATGCATACATACAGACATACAGGCACACACATTTAACATATGACCGCATTTTTATTGTTCTGTTGGCTGCTAGATTTTTCCTATAGAGGAAAATATATAAAAAAAGAATATAAGGAAAAAATTCACTGATTGACTTGCTATTAAACAGTGGAACAGCATGGATGCTCTTATCACTGGAGGTTTTCAAATAAAAGTTGGGCAATCTTTTCCACAGCATGGGCTGAGGATTCCTGCCTTGGACAGAGGCTGGACTAGCAGATCTCCGAGATCCTCTTCCAACTCTAGGTTTATAAAATTCTTTGAATTGGTATGGCATAAAATGTGTTTGAATTTTATTCTATTTTTGTCAAAATAAGCTACCTAAAATTTCAATTGAAATCAACTTAATGAAGTATCATCTGTTGAAAAGACATCTGAAGAGTAGCTTACATCTTAAATGTCTAAGGTAGACTACTTTTGTACTTCAGCTGAAAAATATTTATGTCTGGAGTATCAGAACATAAGAGAAAAAATGGTGCCATTAATTGCAAGAAAACTGAAGCTGTAATATATATTTGCATACACTTATTATACAAGAATACAAACCAGTTTAGTTTAATAGGTTAGTGCTTTAACCATGTTACTCAGCAATACACATGTTTGCTCATGAATAGTAATGTATATACAGCGAATTATATGCACTTGTATAAGCTGACAGGGACATAGTTGGTGAACTGCAAGTCGAGTTACACTTGGAAGTTAACAATAATCCTTGATGTTGTTTCCTTCATTCCCTGTTCCCAATTCTGCAGCTTTAGAAGTGTTCATCACCAGGAGCAATATATCTGTGATGGAACGAGAATCCCTTGAACTTACCTGCAACATCACAACAGACAGAAGTGGTATTTTCCAAACAGAAATCACATGGTATTTCAATGAATCTCCAGATGGCACCATGGCAGAGGCTCAGGTTTTGCTGAATGCTGACCGTGATTTGGTAATTAGTGATTCCACCTTTATCAGCCCCAGCCATGTAGATCGAAGTAATTACAACCTGTTGATGCGTGATGTAGGCACTGAACACTCTGGTTACTACTACTGTCAAGCAGCGCTGTGGGTGCCGCAACACAATGGCAGCTGGCATAAGGTAGCAGAGAAGATATCGGTACCAGTCACTGTGGAAGTGGTGACATTGGGTGAGTAAATGGATATGAAGGAAAACAAACTTTTGAATTAAGTTTAGCTATTGGTGGTTATGTGGGCACTTCTATGAAATTTTCTTGCCATTTGCAACTTCTATGGACAATTATGACATGGTTATTATTTGGTTTTGATGAGAATTAAACATTGGAAGGCATTAGCTGGCTAATCATGCTACAATAATGGTAATTCCTGTTTTTTGTTTCACAGTTTAAAAAAGAAAGAGGCCATTCTGTGGTGACAATTTTTTTTCTAAGGTTTAGATTGAAAAAAGTTGTTCATAGCAAAACTATGGTGTTTTCTACTTAGAGATAAAATATCTTTGCTTTGCTTGCATCTGATTGATTATGTCTATTTTAATTTGGTATTGATTTTTTTAATGAAAGTTATGATGAGGAATTATGGGTTTTGATGCATTTCTACTGTGTTATATTTTGAACAAGAACTTTTTAGTGATATCAGTTGGGAGATGTTAGATGACATCTAAAAATAATAAATTGTAATAATGTTTTAAACTACTGAGTTTTTCTATCAGTTCATGTTCAGTAAATGGTCACTTAGGTATTGCTATTATATAAAATAGTGGTCGCCAACCAGTTGGCTGGGAACACTGTTGGTTTGCAAGAAAATTTTGGTGGTCCGCAGGAAAGTGTCACCCCCAAAGCACCCCCAATTAATCTAGGCTGTGCAGGAACACAAGGCTGTACAGCCCACATGGCCCGTGGAAATACAAGGCTTGCATAGCTTGCATTGCGAACAACATGAGGTAGTGGGGGGGGGGGGAGGGGGGGGAACTTGCCCCATTTGCCCCACACACTTTGCCTGGCCACCGGGCTGCTTCTTTCTGCTTCTTTCTTCTGCTTTTGGCTGCATGCAAGGAAAGCAGCAATCTCTCCCCCAAACTGCCAGAAATGAGTCTTTGGGACCCTGCAAGGCATCCTGCTCCAAGAAGCTGTGCCCAGTGGTGGGATTTAACCAGTTCGCACCACTTTGGGAGAACCGGTTGTTAACTTTTTGAGCAGTTTGGTGAAGTAGTTATTGGAAGAAATAATTAGGGTAGAAAAATTATTATTGTTAAATTATTTGAATCCCATCACTGGCTCCACCAGCACAACAAGTCTCACAAAGACTCATTTCTGGCAGAGTCTGGAGGACAGAAAGAAAGACTTCTGCTGCTTTCCTTGCATGAAGCCAAAAGTCTCTTCTCCCCCCCTCCCCCGAGAATGGAGCTGGAGATGGTATCATGTGATCCCAAATAAAGAATGATTGATCAGTAGGAAAACGGGCTGGGGAATTTTCCTGCAGACTTTTTTTGGGATTTTTCCAGGGTCTTTGCTGCTTTCTGCAGAGACCCTGGGAAAACGTCAGCAAGCCACCACCAGTCAAAATTCATATTAGTGGTCCATGGGATTTAAAATTATGAGTTTGCTGGTCCCTAAGGTCCAAAAGGTTGGTGACCCCTAATATAAAAAGCAGAACATATAAACATCTAAATTACATTTTTCACAATTTCACAGATCAAATCTCAACTGGTCCAGTCAGTTGTTTTGTCTTGAAATTTGCTTTCTAACTTGCTTATTTTATTTTTGGATAATGAAACATGGTGTAAGAAAAGACAGATACTATTTTTCAAATTTATCCTTCAATTAAGATTTTCTTCTTGGAATGAAATTGCAACATTAGAATTCAAATATTCAAATAATTCTATATTTGATGAAACAGAAATGCAAAGTGGTATCACACAATATAAAAAGAGAATTGGGTGAATATCAGACTTGTATAGAAAAATGTTTATAATTTCAGTATTTTTCTATAACTATATAAACATTGTCAATAATTTTTATTCTATTTTCTGAACTGGATTCTTAAGCTGCTAGCCTTCTTTTCTGCAAATGTACTAAAAATTAACATTTAAGCATAAGAGTTACAGAAGATTAAAGCACATGTTAGTGAAGATCCATGTGGTTCTATGAAGTTTTTCTTGATATATCAAAACCTTTTCTAGAATAATTAAAAAATCAAGTTTCTTCATGTTAATTAAAAAATCAAGTTTCTTCATGTTTTACTTTTCAGTTAAAATCCAGATAATTCTGTATAGGTTTTGAAACAGTGAAATGGCAATGCTGGAATGGTTGTTGTATTTAATGCCCAGTTACCTTAAGTGCAGTCCAGTAGTATTTGTGTAACTGCTTATATTTACTTGAAAAACATCTCATTTAAGTTCATTGAGATTTGGGGTGCTAAATTGTAATATTGTTGATTCTGATTTGGCATGGCATGTGATGAAATCAGGGGATTGTATGCTGTTTCTTTCTAGGAATTGCTTTGCATCATTACATCATTACATTGCACCATTATGTTACATCATTACATTGCAACATTATGTTGCAATAACTATGAGTGAGTTGAGACAGGTTCAAGCCTGCGGGAAAATTGATTGATGGAATATTATATAGATAGGGTTATATGTTATTTTCCATTCCTGAAAGGCAGCCAGAATACAAATAAAAATGCCAAAATAAACTAGCATTTAGTATCTAAAAGGTTTAAGATAAGCTATTTAAAACTTGGTGTTTATTTCTGTCTTTTCTTTAATATATGTTGTTTTCTTATAACTTTTTAATTGTAAGCTTCCCAGAATCATTGTGTACTGAAATTATAAATAAAATTTGAAAAAGGTCCAGAAATTAAAATGACCCAATTCCCTCCTTTTTATATAAATGGAGGTAAGGGTTAGTTTTCTCATGCATAAGGGATATTTCACCACCAAGTACATGAGAATTTAGAGTTTGTAATATGAAGACTGTAAATTCTTAAATTAAAATACAGGGAGATTCCTCTCTTGCTGAGAGTTGGAGAAGTAGATCATTTCGTGCAGTGAATTGTCTGCATATTATTAGTGCACAGAAAAAGAACAATTTTGTCTGGAGGTGTGCTGGCTTCTGTGTGGCACAGAGGAAAGATAGACCATTTCATGTTTGCTGTTGGCTAATCTACTTGACTGTGTGCTTGGCACATTTAAAGAAGTACAACTATTTTTCCAGCGAAGTTCTTTTTCTGATATTATCTTGTAGTCTCCCTACTCTCTAGTTGGCTTGAACAAGAGACTTCTATTCTGCTTTTGTAAAGTTGTCTATAGCCACTTGGAGCTTCTGCTTCCTTCTGTTACAATTATTACTTGGGTTTAGGTAAAAGTAAAGGATAAAGCTATTTTTAATGACCTTGTATTGCCTGGGTGAGTTAAATGGGAGAGGAATTACCATCGGAGATACATAAATTGTATCCAAATTTCATCAGCAGCCTCCTGCTCTTCCTTGATAGAAGTTTGAGAGCTTGGCAGGGTATTAATTCACTGAACTGTCAGCAAGGCTGTTCTTTGACAGTTGACAGAGTGCAGAAATGAGGCTTATCTAGCAAGCCTTTATTCCTTCCTTCTAAATCCTCAGTCAGAGAGTCAGTGTCAAGAGCATTGCTGGTACACTATTCTCAAAGGCAAATTTTTACCTAGCAATCCACTTCTATAAACCTTGCAAATATTTGTGGAGTTGACTAAAACTTCATTTCCCTAAACTTTATTCTTGTTCTTCAGAGCAGAAAGCATTTATTCATGTTTCCATGTTGGAAATTATCTGGTTTGGTGACTCTAGCATTGTCTGCAACAACTCTAGTGATTTATACTAGGGCCACATACATATTTATCCACTTTAATATGATCATGATATTATCAGACATAGTTCAACTTTAAAAGCTGTTAGATTCACTTAATGCAACTTGATTTTACTTCAGAGCTATTAAGCATCATGTGTAAGTAAAAGTGCATGACTGTCTTAACATTTATTTGTTTGGTTGATATTGTCCTCTTTAAATATGGCATTGAAAATAAATAGCAACAATTAAAACTCTGCAAAAAAAATCTGGTATACTTGGGTATAATCATCCAAAATGTTGATTTCGTGCCTTACATATATCATAAAGTGCACAAACAAACAATTTTCTCAATTTGAAATGAAGTTCAGTTTTGACCAAGGCTTCCTGAGACACCAACAAACACATATAAAATCCAAAACTCTTTTATTTTAGTTCAATGGCTGTGAATTATTGTCATTCACAGACCGGAATGAGTCTTAACTGATTATAATTAGTCCCAGGAATGTCCGCCAAAGTTCTTTGTAAGACGTCTGATAAGAATGCACCTTATCTTACTTGAAGTGCTGCCAACGACTAAAGTCCCAATTAGTCTTTCCAAAACCAAACAGAACAAATTCACCATGGAGCTTTCAGAGTCCAAACTGATCAGAGTGAACGACTTTGCTTCCTGCAAAGGTTTTCCTACCTTTGTACTTCCTTTATACCTTATGGGAGGGGCAATCACCTCCAAGCCTTACTCCCGAGTCGCCTCTTTTGTCTTAGCTGCTCATGCCTTCTGGCAGCTCTGTGCACATGCGCACTGGAACAGGCTCCCCTTGTTCCTCTGCCTCACTGCTGCCAGATTCTGGAGGCTCCAGAATTAGCACATAACTCCCAGATGGTCCGGCCCCATCTCTGTATCAGATGTAGGACCTTCGTCCGAGTCCTCCCCAGACTCCCAGACTCTGGTCCCTGTTTTTCCCCACTGTCCGATTCTGCTGCTGTTTGCAAAGGCTGCCAGCGAGCCACAACAAGTTCAGAATGTTTTGAATTTTAGAAAAGGTCTTTGCATATATTAAATCAGTATCTTTACTAAGTTAATTGAGGGTTTATGAAATAGTGTTTAAATTTAAACTTCTGTAACAAACTTCATCATCATTCTTTAATTGAAAACTAATAATATATGCACAGGTAGCTTAATAAAGAAATGTTTTATTTTTATCTTCTCTTGACCAACATGAAAGGATGCTTTAAGTATTCGTGTGTGATTATGTTACCAAATAACCAGTTAAGCAAACTTGTACTACATAATCTTTTGTTATTTGCCTGGCAAATACAGATAGTCCTCGACTTAAAATAGTTCATTTAGTGACCGTTCAAAGTTACAATGGCACTGAAAAAAGTGACATTACCATTTTTCCCAGTTACAATCTTTGTAGCATCTCCACGATGATGTGATCAAAATTCAGATGCTTAGCAACTGGTTCATACTTATGACCATTGTGATGTCCCAAGGTTACTTTTTGCAACCTTTTGACAAGCAGAGTCAACGTGGAAGCCAGATGCACTTAACAACTGAGTTACTAACTTATTAACTGCAGTGATTTGCTTAACAACTGTGACAAGAAAGATAAAATGCGGCAGAACTCACTTAACAAACAGAAATTAACAACAGAAACGTTGGGCTCAAATGTGGTCGTAAGTCGAGGACTAGCTGTAATACCATGAAGAATTAGACATAATTAGCTGATGGTACAATCCAAATCCTTGCCATAACTGGTTAAATACTAAAGAAGCTTTGCAATTTAAAATCATGATGTATGTGAAGATATAACCTATATTCTGTATTAGTTCTGTTTCATACTTTTAATTGTTACTTTGGCTTTCTTTCTATTTTCCCAAAACCTACATAGAACCAAATTACTACGTGTTTCTGAATGCTTCTAAAACACCCCTGTTTGCTGAGGATCCCACAGAGCTTGAATGTAGGATCATGGAGGTACAGAACACTGAAACAAATGTTCGTTTCACTGTGTCCTGGTACTATAGGATGCCCACACGCAGTGATGAAGTGGTAGAATATGAACTTCTGGCCACTATGGATGCAGACTGGACACTAGTACTTGGCGAGAAAAGCAAACAACGTGCTCAGAATGGGGAAATTATTTTCTCTAAACCAAAGGTAGACATCTTCCGCTTACGAATCCAATGGACTTCTGAAACAGATAGAGGAGAATATTATTGTGTAATTTCATCATGGAGCAGACAGCGCAACAACAGCTGGATAAAGATCAAGGATGTGGCTTCTATGCCTGTAAGCATTTTATGGTCTACACAAGGTAAGATTTCCCAATTCTGACTTTAAATGGTGTGGTGCATATTGGTGATATTTCAGTGTCTTTGTAGGTATTCCGCAAAGGAAAAAAAAAGGTTTTTGATAAGTTGTACATGCATTTCCCACAGCTAACTTTGAAATGAAGAAAGCAGAATAGCCAAATGTACAAATGACCAGCAGGATGACATTTAATAATAATAATAAATAGCTACCAGTGTAAGCTTAAGATACTTTTTGTAATGACCCAGGGCATGGCACAAAAGCAACGAAGTCACAAAAGTAGGTAAAGTCCCTTTAATACCTTCAACTTGGCTCCCAATGTCCAGTTATCATCAGCTGGAGAAAAAATTCTCCCAAGAACAGTCTTTAAAGAAAAGAAATTCAGTCTGCACCCAAAGTAAATTTAAATTATAAATAAAACCAACACAAACCATGCTGCAGCAATTAACAAAACAGGGCAGGATAAGGAATTGCAGACTTCCAAAAGATAATGAAACACACACAGTTAGGAAGACGCTTTCCTGTGCGCAGTTTGCCTTTTTAAACAGTTTTCCCAGCTGCAGCTAATGAAGGGGATCAGGGCCCTTTCCTCCCCCATAAACCACGTAACTCACGTTCCCTTCTCCGTTCCTCCCTGCATGCCCTAGGATGAAGAGGGGGTGGCCCTGGGTCTTCCTCTGAATGCCCAGCCGAACTGTGCCCTTCCCCAGTTTCTTCCACAGCCACCAGAGCCACAGTCCCACTCCCTGTCAGCTGCTCGACCTCCCCTCAGAATCAGATTCCAACAGGGGCATGACACTTTTATTAGGAGAGGAAATATATGTATTGCAAGCCTTGTTTCCTTAAACATCTTACCAAGAAGCAGCCTGAAGTATATCTAAGGTGAATGTGTACTCCAGAGGACATAATGTTCCTGACGTAATTTTTGTGTCCTTAATGTTACAAAGAATGGGACAAGACATAAAAAGCATATTCTTTTTAGATATCAAAAGGAACAACCCATTCAGCAGACTGAATGCATAGGATGAAGCTTTGTAGCTTTTTAAACACTGACAAAATAGTGATAATCTAAATCCTTGTTGATAACAGTTAAAAAAATTATAATGTATTCAGTTGTAATTTTCTGAAATCTCTCAAGACTCAATTGTTTTGCTTCAAAAGACTAATACATATGTTTGTCCTTTAACTTTTAAAACATTAAATTTGATGATTTTAAGTTTGAAAAATCATAGAAGTGAAGGTTTAAATTTAAGAACTAGAATAAATTTAATTTTGTTGCACACTTTTGAAAAGACTTGAGAAATAAAATTCCTTTGCGTATCGCCAAAATTATAATTTAGTCACTGTTATGTGATTGGCCTTCTTTTAACTAATCTGATAAAATATTAACTGAGTTAACTGAAAAAGAAGTGCTAGTGTTTTTCAGATAGTCTACAAGTATCTTGTTGAATATACAATTTATAAGTCATTTTTACTTCAGATTAGTTAGTCTTTTTTTAAAAAAATCAAAAAGAATTTTGTTTTTATATTCAATAGTCTCTGATTACTGTCTGTAATCACCTATGTGAATAACATAAGGGTAAGACTTTAAGAGAGTTGACACTAAATTAAACAATGTAATAATCCAATTTAAGGCAGCTCACATTTTAATGCATTTGGATAGTCAGCAGCTGAAAAGAAGATGTAGATATTTCTTGGGATACTTCTACATGTATTGCTTTGTAAATATTCTAGAGCTCCCTGATCCCAGCAGTTCCTTGTTTTTTGCTGCAATTCTTGGCTCCACTTTTATGGAGATGCTGTCAGTCCACTATTCCTCTCCTCTAAGCCTAGTGCTAAAAAGCTGAGCAGATTTATTTTATTGTCATCTGTGGTGTAGTTGAACCTTCAGAGAAACTAGTATTGTCTTTTGCAATGTTTTGTGTCAACTTAGAACTTAGGTTGCTATTTTTTCTCACTGCAGAGAATTCTTGATTCATCTCACTTCAAGACATCTGGCTTTGATCAACTTAGTGTATTACCTCAGTATATTAGTATATTTTCCTTAACAGATAATAAAGCATGATCATTTTTCAGTTCAATAGCTGAGTTGCCATGCAGTCAGACAACACACATAAGTATGTTTCACAAGCATGATTTAAGAGCATATAGAATGCCAGCAATGTACATTTCTTCTTCTATAGATTGAACATGGGGAACCCTTTTAAATTAGAGTCTAGAGCAGTGATTGAGATTCTTTGCTCCTTATTCCTAGTATTTTGATAATCAGTGGTACTGAGAATTTCTGCCTAATAAATTTGAAAGTACTTCTGGAGATTTGGGAGTGAAAACAGTGATGGTGTTGAATATTATCTATTTCAGTAGCACATCCAAATTTTACATGTACATAAATAAACTTAAGTGCTAATTTGTCATTAATTGGTAACAGAAATCATTTTGACCGGTTGGATATAACTTTCAAAGCTGCTAGATGTCCCAATTTGTGTTCTTCTAACAGGAAATAAAAATAGTAATCTAATAACCAGAAAAGTACAAGAAATGTTATGGTCCTTTCCTTAAGCTCTGAATACTTTCCAATCCGCATTGATGTTTTTCTCTTTTCTATGGCACTGGTTATATGTGTGCTGGAGGAGCTTCATTCATGGGGTCCTTATGAGGAACAGATAGCATTTCATAGTTAGAAACAGCCTTTTCATATGTTAGTTGATTTTTAGCGGTGGAAGATGCTAAGGTTCCCTTTGTGGAAGAAAGTTTTTTCTCTCTCTAATAAATCATGAAAGTTTAGAATGTAGCATTCTAGAATGCCATGACTTGTTTTAGCTGTTTAACAGTCTACTGTACTTTGACATTTACCTGAATCCACTAATCAGCGTCTTTAAAAAAGACACACAGGAAAACAGTCCAAGAATTTCAATTCCATCCAGTCTCCATATCTATAATTTCTACCTTCAGGGGTATTTATTAAACAGTTTAGTTTATAAACTACAGTCTTCTGAAAATCATCACTAACTCTCCAAGTGTGTCTAGATATGCTTTCCATCTGCCTTTGTTTTTAGACCAAGGATGGGCTGTGATACATTAATAACTAGTGATAAATTCATATTTAATGCTGGACTAACAATGGTTCATAAAAATTGGGGCTTTCATACTGGATTCTGTTGTGTTTCTATGGCACAGGCAACCATCCACATGTCCCAGTTTGTCATCTTGCTCTTTGAGTAAGACGTTTTACCTCAAGTTTCAAAAGAATAGGTTGTCCCAATTTTGAAATGCAGTCTTTCAGTAAAATATGCCTTTTTATTTTCTCCAATCATTTCACTTTAGATTGTGTATCACATTTTAAGAATAAGCCTGAGGCAAGGGGCTGCATTATTATTGCTCTTACAATGTATTTTGAGAGCATTTTTTTCCTGAAAAAGTAGAATAAGAATAACAAATAGTGTTTAATAAGAGGTCAGAGCAGTTGATATTTAGAGTGCAATAAAATTTGGAAATGTCACAGTTTATAACTACCTTTCCGGTTTTTAGTAATTATCCATTACCCAAAAATAGAAGATTAGCATAAAGCTGTGCATCACAAATTATTTTTGGATGTATATTGTTCTGAAACAGCAGCTGAGTGGTTTTTTCCCCTGTTACATAGTAATTCAAAACACATGCTTAAAGTACTGCAGTGTATTCGTATATCTAAGCGCACATAACAATTAATCCACTGTAAAACAAAATATTGATAGACACTTGCACATTTAAATTCTCTTTTTTCCCTCTCTTGTTATGTGCCTTAGAAATTCTCCAACAGAAAAATGACAGTAGGGAGGATCCTTGCTTTTCATAGAAAATGATCACCTTTCAGTTATTTTTTGCCATTGGCATCAACCTGATGGCAGCTACCCAAGCCATGTCCAGCCAGTAAGCCACCCCCAGCCAGTCACGTGACCAGCAAGCCACACCCTCAAATTAGGCCATGCCCACAGATATTTGAATCCCACCCCTGGGTGGGGGGCACCAAGGATGAGTTTGTAGCACCAAGGGGGCAGTGGACTGAAAAAGTTTGGGAACCACTGATATAGATGATAATACAAAACCTCAAAGTTTGTGACATAAAGGGATAGACCTGATCTCAGTGAGGTTTTTTTTTTTTTTCATTTTTAAGAACATGTAACACTTCTTTATATCCAGGAGCTAAATATTTGAAGAAACGACTTCAGCATCTAGGTGGTATTGCTAGAAAAGGACAATGTGTTGTACTCACAAGTTCTACAATGTGAGAAAAGTGTAGATTGCCCAAACAGGGATAATGAAATTAATTCTTAAATTTGAAGCTATGTAATAGTACTTATCAATTTAGGTTTCTCCTCTCCTTTGTATAACATTGTCTTTTATAAACTTGCATGTTTCAGTAGCAATTCCTCAATATGTCATGTTGTAAAGTGATTACAAGCAATCTAATCTGAACCAGTTACATTATCTCTATTTCAGAGAGAATCCTGAAGAAAGAGAGAGAGTGGGTCTTAATGTTTAAAGAGACTTAAAGGCAGCTAGTTAAAATGCAAATCTTGACTAAACTATTCAAATTTAATCTGAAGATTTGCATCTTGAATGAACTAATCCTGACACTTATCTGATTTTATGCTTCAGTGCAGGCTTTTAAACACATTAGCAATGGTAGTTGAATTTCTGAGACATTGCATGGGGATATCTGCCTGGTTGTATTCAGAATAACTGTGAAATGATGACCAAAATCACAGTCTGCAAGCTTCTCCTCCGAATTATTTGAGGGGAAAAGCATTGTGGGCAGGAAAGAAACAAGAAAATCTAAGGACCTAAGTTATGTAGAACTTTACATGTAATGTCACTAGCATTGGACCTGCTCCGAAAGATTATTAAAATCCATGCAGTTACCAGAATTCTGCAACTTGATGTAGAGCATGCTACAGAAATCTAAATGAGAAGTGAAAATATCATCACTGGATATCAGTAAAGCTTCTTGTTCAGAAAAGGCTG